TACATCGCGTGTGATATCTTCGCGTTTTTCTGACCTGGTCACTTGGCACAGCAGCAAAGAAGCGCACCGAGGAAGGCAGACGTGGCACTTCAGCTTCACTTCGCTGACACAATTCCTGTATCGATCTCCAGCCCAGCAGCAGCAGGGCAGTGGCAGCAGCGAAAGCTGAGGCTCTTCACTCCAACACTGAGTGTACAACTGGCAATAACCTGTCACTGAAACATTCAAATGATAATTTCTAATGGTTGCTTGATTTGATACGGTTTCTGTGACAGAGTGTTAGTTGATTCGAGTTCGGATTTAGCCGTCATGCTGACCTTTTGAATTGGCCCGACTTAACCGAGATACTAAAAAGAGATATTTTATAGATTTTATTAGATATTAGCGAGATTTTAATATCCTCAGGCTATAGGAATACTCCAGTGAGGATGGTAGTACTGAGGCACCTATCATAAGCTATTGTAAAGCTCTCGACTTTGCGTGTCATCGAAGTCTCGTGTCGTCCACTTCAACAGTTCCTTTTCAACAGTTGCCTTCACTTGCTTTCAGTTAGATATTCAATTTCTATAAAATCATAACTATAAAAACGCGATACATTTCATCTCCATACTTTATTTTATGCATTTAATAACGATTTCAAATTGAAATAAGATTTTATTATTATTACGCATTTTTATATGATAACCACCATGATCGCCATCCAAATCATTATGTCTTATGCGCGCGTCAGGTCGGCCTGGAGTTAGGCTTCACCGCGTCATTTGTAACAGTCATGCCTCGAGTGAATGCGTTACTGGAAGTGGTAATGACAGGGTAAGTGACTGTTACAGTGACTGTTGATCAATGTGTATCAACTGTGTAAGTGGATCCATGAGTAATTGCGCTTCAGTGTTGTGGTAGAGTAAGTAACTTTGTTAGGAGCTTTTTTGTTGGACTGTGTACGTCACCGTGATAGTGATGTTGCTAGTGAACGTGTTAGTTGCTGTACTAACGATAGTACTAGACCAATGATAGTTACAGTGATGATGGTGACTTTAGTATTTGTGTTAGTCAGTAATAACTGCATTTAAGTAAGACGTGTATAGAATTAATCATGTTATATAAATGCGTAGATTTTGATGTGATTTGGTCCGCTATTTTATTTTCCCGATTTATACGGCAATATTCCTAACTACCACATGCATGGAATATTCTACGTTAACAATTCAACCTAAGCTAAACTTTTAGCTGATGTCAAACTATCCCGTTAGGATATTTGATTCAGAAATATAAACTTCTCGAAAAAATAGAAAAATAAAATAGAAATAATAGAAATAATAGAAAGAAAAATAAACTTCTCGATTGTTCTCGAACAACCGCTAATAAATTAATCAGCGAGCGAACACAGGACGCGAGTCTACAGGACGTACGGAATCTAATACGAACAACAGCCACCGATGGCAATGAACAAAGTTTAAGATTTAATAACTGTGAATTAGTAAGTGTTGCTTTGACACATCGGTAGGGGTAAAAAAGACGCAATCCATGTTATTGTTGTGTTGCTACAACTTTCAGCATATCAAGTGGCAGTTGTATAAAGGCAAACGTTTTGTTGTAGTTGCAACACAACAACCTTGCTTAAAATTTTAGGTTGAACCTTCATCCCTCAAATGTCCATTTCAGTGGCCTTGATGATCTACTTATGATTTTCAACAAAGATTCATGATTTCCACCAGAGATTCGTGATTTTCAAGAAAGATTCATAAATCCTAACAGAGATTCATGACTTCTAATAGAGATTCGCGATTTTTAATAAAGGTTCACTATTTACGACAGAGATTCATAATTTCGAAAAAAGATTCATGATTTCCAACAGAGACTCATAACTTCCCAGAGATATTTATGATATCTGACATAGGTTCATGCCGCTAAGGATATAGAAGCAACGATCGCAGCTTTAGCACGCGTCTGCGGCACAAGGCTGGCGCAGCAATAACATCTCTGTAGCTCGCAATAACCGTAGCCAATAACGGGCCTTACATTCACATTAATTCGCTGTGTCTGGTCAGCTGCCAGTACGGAAGTACGGATAAAGGAAATCTGCGTCTGACAGTTATAGAGTCTTCGAAGCCCTCAACTACGAACTGTACGCTTTACGAAGGTTCAGTTAACCCAAGTATTTCAAACTTGGACTGGAATTGAGCTATTGTTGAGTTTTGAATCCTAAAGTGAGCTGGAAAACGTAATTATAACTATTGTTTGGAGCGTGGTTCAGTCCACGGAGTCTGCTCCTCGCATTTAACTACCTTCAAACCGTGCCCCGTTATGTGGCTCGATTTTGGGTATTGAGGCTATGGAGTAAATTCTCTATCGAATGACAGGCCAGCTAGCAATAAAATTATGCAGCAATAATTTTATTTGAATTACCAGCAACAAAATTAAACGTCATCAAGAGTTCATGCTGCCTGTGGTCTCCAACTTCAGATAGGAACTTAGCCCTTTTTTCAATTTTTTTCCACCAACTCGTATAAATTAGCTACATCGTGACCATGAATTCGTTTTTCTTTTTTTGCAAACTCTTAAGCATTTTAAAACTGTTTGCTTCAGATAATTTTTGTATGCAATGTTATATATTGCTTTCGCAGAAAATACTGCTAAGAGAAGTAAGTCATTCAAATTAATATATTCAATATACCTCATATTTAAGCTGTGAAACGTATTGATATTTAAAACATTTAGGTACAACGTTGTTGTTGGATATCATTCACTTCTTATTATGGTTGTCTAAATACTTAGTAATAACTCTATCACATACCAGCCATTTTCTACTGGGATCGGCAGGCACCATTCTTCAACAGCAGTTCGTCAGAAATTTCTTCTATGGTATTAATTATAATTCCACAAATAATGTCTGCACAAATTATCTTTAGTAGAATTTCATGTAGGAGAAGAAAAGATTTGTTATCTGCAAACTACCCATTTATTGATTTTTCACAATAATAAAAATAAGAAATTATAAAAAGGAAAGTTGTAATCTTATACTTGCCGGCGAATCCGTTCCTGGACACCCGGACTAGCTTACAAAAATAGCGCATTTGTGACTAGAAAATCCGAGGAGCGTCTCTCCTTACCCTCACTCCACCCGCCTACCCTCAGAGCATCACTTACCCTCTCTCCGCATCCGCCCACCCAAAGAGCATCTTGCTTTCCCTCTCGCTCTTTGATTAGATGATCTGGATCTATTGTGATGCATCCATTAAATCTATTCGTAAAGTTCGAATCATGAAAGCGGATTCGTATTGCTTCAAGTCTTGCATATTTATTATACTCCAAAGCATCTTTATTCACAAATATTTCAGATCAAGACTCCAGCCCAACATCAATAAAACCTTTTATTTCTTCAAAATCACCACTACTGCATGTCGTCTACTGCAGAATACTGAATTCCTTTCCACCCAAGCCCCCACCCTTGCTCCTCGGTTTCAGATAAGGTTTTAACCAACCACCAGCCGTTTGCTGTCAACCAATCGTGGTTGGAGTAACATAAACGCTGTGGCAGCAGCCGTACTCAAGAGTGATTAAAGAGTATTTACCCATATAAGTTACTTGATGACAAATAAGGGGTAGTTAATTACCCACAGATGTTCCTGGGCGACCAATAACAGGCAGTTACCAGCAGATGTTCTTTGGTGACCAATAAAGGGTATAGTTACCCTAATAAGTTACTTGGCAACCGATAAACTGTAGTTACCCACAGATGTAACAGGGTGACCAATATAGGGTAGTTACTCACAGATGCTATTTGGTAACCAATAAATATTAGTTACCCACAGATGTAACAAGGTGACCAATATAGGGTAGTTACTCACAGATGTTATTTGGTAACCAATAAAGAGTAATTACCCACAGATGTTACAGGGGGTGACTAAAAGCCCACAGATGATATTTGGCTACCAATAAATGGTAGTTACCCACAGATGTTATTTGGCAATAATCTGATATAAAAATATTAAAGATTCAACCGGAACAACCATTCAGCGAAGAGAGCTTTCAAGTTCACATTATCGGACAGTGTGTGGCCACCACAGGAACAATTTCGGTAGTATTTTATCATATAGAACAATTCTGAAAATTTTCGAGACAAATTGGAATTATTTTCTTATTTAACGTTGATTTAGCTTACAATACATTAAAACATATTTCTAATAATTCAAGCACAGTGAAATAAAATTGATTTCACAAGAACAATTTTTAAACAATAGAGAACACCAATTATAATTAAAACAAACTACCATTTGTCTTCGTTATTATAAGCATAATCACTTATCCATTGGTAACTCTAATAAGTTTCAGAGCTTGGCTCTACGCAGTGAAGAGGAAGTGGGAGCGATTCTGCTCAACAATTCAAGTATCTTAACCAAGACTAATTTTATTTAGGTGCTTAGAGCTGCATTGATCGAAAATTTCGGGTGTAGAAGAAGTCTATCAAGAAAACTGCTCGTGAAGGTGATAATCTGAAAGAGAGGTTTTTACCTCAGACTATTTCTATAACTACTTTAAATTGCTTGTTGCCTAATATCTAAGCCAATATTCAATTAAACTTATCCGTGTTCAAACCTCCCAATAATTTCAGAACATGAGTCACTATTGGTTACGACATGCCAATAAATCTGTGAGATTATTCAAGTTTTCAGTAAGTTCATAGCTTAATTTTCTATGACACTAATACGAAAAAAGCCTGGATCTTCACAGTGCAGGATTTTCAACAGGGTAAAAAACAGATTTAAAAACGGACCGACAAAATACATCAATTGAATCATCTGTTCAAGCACATATTTAGACATGAACTTTCGCGGTCCTGACTTGACTTAAAGAGCACACATATTGTACGTCCACCGCAAACAATTTTGGGCAAGGTGGATCAATCTACGAGTACAGCCTACAGATAAAAATGGTACGCTGATCCAGCGGACTTCGGATGCGAGATAGGAGCATTAAGCCTAAGCTCTATCAATAGTATAGTGTTGTTAAACAACGGAGCACTACAAGCTATTTCCTAGACTTAGTTTTTTAGCGTCTGAGTCTAGGCCCAGACCGTACTTACTCGAAAGATATCGTTTTGCAATAGTTTAATTATTCGATATTTCAACAGATGGTGTCAGGTTCAAGAAAGAATTGCTACCTCAGGGCGGTGCAATGACTCACAAAGTACAAGTGACAACCTCAATCGAGGAATATTCGGTCTCTGAACGAAATGCTGAAAATTTCAGTGATACATATTTAGTATTTCAACCTTCTTCATAATAGCTGATGGAAAAGGCAAAATGCAAGGATCCAAGCGAAACCCCTTATGCCGATCAAACGAGTAATCGAACCTGCAACTTTTTGTTGAAACCATCTGGTCATGGCGCCTCCTTTTTGACCTCCTCTCTCGTTGGTCTTCGGAGCCTCGCGTGAACGCCTCCGAAAGTGGAGAAGGACACGGCGAGGCTGGTAGAGAAAATTCGAAGGTCTTTGGACTCGGAGGGACGACAGACACTGGGACGTTTGTACTAGTCCGTTACGGCGAGCCTCTATCACACTGTCGTTATCACAAAAAGATCGATCCGTACCTCCAAATAGAAACGGTAGTATTCAGATAAAAAGATTTACAAGTATGAAAAATATATGAGACTATCTGTGAGTGATGGGGAAGAAGTGAATGAGTCTATGACCGTCTAAGACGACCTCAACTTCCACTGCTACAAATAATATGTACAATTCACAACCGCATGGTGTCTAACCCTTCTAATTAAATTTATCTATGATGACACTCGTATCGTTACAAACAAGCAATGTACAGCTACTCACAATACACAGGCACGTACAAAATGAGCCACAAAGCATAGTGTATAGATGGAGCAGCAACATTAGTCAAATACTCAATAAATCTCTAAACAACCCAAACCATCTACATTTCAGGCAGTACAAAACTAGAAAAGGTTGAGTCAGATGAAGTTTTACGACGACATGCTCTTTCTAAGGCTCATATATTCATTACGTAGTTTTCCAGCTTGGAAGTATCTGGACTAGATGTCAAGCCGATATCTTGAGAAAGTGAACTCTAAGGAGCTGTAAAACTATATGGATACTTTCAGCTGAAATATGACGTCTATGACAAAAGGAAAACGAGAGCTTCAAAAAAGATTAGACACAATCGAGCGGGAAGCCATGAAGCCTTAGACGATACCAGTATTAAATAGGTTCACAGGAAAAGTGCAGTGACCACTTAAAGTGAATCCATTTATGACGATCTATAGCAGGCCAGCAATGGATAGGAACCGCTTCGTACAGTTTTATAGTTTTGATTCTGGTGAAAAGGATCATGGTAGCGTTATATCAAAGAAATAGACGACAATTTTTCAAATGACTGATCGGTGATGAATGGTGGTTTTGCTATCTTGACGTAATCTTACTCTTGTAAAGCTATTTGCATGACGGTCATTATAAGCTAACTGCAAGGACTACTACACACAGGACATGCATAGCCTATGTCCAGCCTCTGCTAGCAGAGGCGATCGCCTACACTATGAAAATGCTGTTGTTTTAGTGGCATCAACAAATGATATGCCCATAATTGTTTCATACAATAGTATTACAATGTGTGTAGTAGTCCTTCTATGGTTCTGACCAAGGACTACTACACACATTGTAATACTATTGTATGAAACAATTATGGGCATATCATTTGTTGATGCCACTAAAACACCAGCATTTTCAAAGTGTAGGCGATCGCCTCTGCTAGCAGAGGCTGGACATAGGCTATGCATGTCCTGTGTGTAGTAGTCCTTGGCTAACTGTTGTTACATGAGACGGTCTTATCTTCTGAAGACCTCAATTAGCAAGCAAGAGGTGCTGATATTGAGGTGCCGAGTAGACTCCATCGTTGATAGCAGAGTTCTTGTCGCCTCCGTTCACTCCACCTGCGATGACAGCTCCGCCGTTCCCGGACGGTCCAGGCATGCCTACGAGGCCGGAGCCTGAGCTGGTCATGGCTTCAAAACCAGGGGGAAGTTTTGCGCCGGGGCAGTGGTTCGACATGGGCATGAGATCAGTGAAAAATGAAGCCGAGTGGAATCCTTGGTCGAAGACACCACGACTCCAGGGGCTGTAAGATGAGGCTGGTCCACCGTTGCTTTGGAGGTAAAGGTTCGGGTCGAGGGGAGGTGCTGGACTCAGCGACCTCGGACGAGAGCCACCGAATTGGCCGACAAATCCAGGGGCTCCGACAGCTGCCTGCTGCTGGTGGTGCTGCTGTTGCTGGTGCTGCTGTTGTTGAATAAGTTGGCGTTGTTTGATGTAATTCGAAAATTCAGTTGGTGACATGCGGTTTGCGCGTTTTGTGCTCGTCTTTAATTTAGTAGAACCAAACTTGGTTTGTGCGAACGTGGCCGTTGTGAAGGTTAAAGGAGCCGCGGTCTTGGGTAGAAAAGCCGAAATAGGCGAAGCCTCGCGTGTTTTGAAAGGAGGGGTTGGAGAATTGGAGGAGTAGGGGGACGATGACTTTGGGCTGATGGACATGCTGCTGAGAGACGAACTCAGGTTGTCAATTGGTTTGAAGCATTGCGCTTCAGGATTAAAGGTCTTCGTGACTTCTTTGTCTAAACTTTCTTCCTGCGTGGCGGATTCTGCTGCTTCCGAGTATAGGATCTTGATGAGTCCTTTCTCACCAATGCGGTAAGAGACCTCACCAGGATCTACCCAGACAGCAAGATCTTCAGGAAGATTTTCCTTGATCTCTCTGATCTCCATGCCAGCTTCTCTCGCAGCCTTCTCCAGCACAGGATCGATAGGATCGCCGGTTTTGATGCACCGGAATGCGGATCCTTTCATGGGTTTTGCTGGATACCAGTGACCCTCGAACTTGGCTTTAAGCGCTTTTTCAAGTTCTTCTCCAAATATATTAACTCGCCGTCTTGGCAGCTTGTTGTACATATAAGAGATCACAAAATTGAGCGCAACTTGTATCTCCAGGTGCATATTTCTGGCTGATGATATTCGTTGATGGACTGAAGGAAGACTCGTAACCTGAAAAGAAATATAAATTGAGATTAGGCAAAACGTGTATGATATCTCATTTTATATCGAATAAAATTAGTTTTATTTGACCTTCATTGCATTGATGGCTATGAATAAAACATATAGCCTGTGCTTTATCATATTAAAACAAGGAATTTCCAAAAAAAATCTTGCCTCTTTGACTTATTTGAATCGTTCTGTCTCCATAAATAAGTCAATTCTGTCTCGAACGCAATGATCGTTTCGTCGCCATAAAGCTGGCTCCAAAGTTAATATCGTAGCAGTTGACGTGACCACGCCAAGCTATTTCATCGATCCTGCAGTGACAGCGACGACGAGAGGGGTGGGCAGTGATTGAAGAATAGCAAAAATGAATAACGCAGCGGCAAACGCGCATTCACAAATTGTCTTCATAATCATATCAGCGATCTAACGGTAGTTATTTCTGAACCGAGTCGTCTTACTCAGGATATTGTTTTGAAATAGGATTCTAATCGCCGGTAAATTGTACACAAACTCATCGGTGTAAAGCTTGATCTTGATAATGCTCGATTTGTAAAATTTTACGCATAATTTTCCAGTAGCGGAAAATATATAATGAAATAGCGGATTCGATCGAGGTTCTGAAAGATTTTATGAATGCAGAGCACAGAACTACTGGAATAATTTATGAGTAAAATGCCATCCGACCACAGCTCGTACGTATCATCACTAATAATGTGATAGTGAGTGTTGAGTCGGAGAACAATCATTGAAGGTTGAATGACTTTATGAGGTACTTGACAAGAATTGGATGTTCACTTCGGTTACTTGTTACGTTATCGCCTGGCTTCATTCAAGATCATTTGAAACTTAACTTTATCTGTGACCACGAAACAGCAATATTTGTATATTAAAAGCCTTGATTTTTTGTAAATAAAAATTTTTAATACTTTTTTTAATTTACCATCTACTGACGGCTACTAGCAGGAGATAATGGATTCACGGTGGTTTGAAATTTTATAAACGAAATCTCTTTTCACTGTTATTTTGCTGGCTGGTGAACAAATGTCAAAAAAACAATTAAGCATAAAATTTTTCCAAGCCAAAAATGAGCAGTCGGGTAGATGAGCAACACTTCATGATGAACGAAAATAGATGATAATAATATTATTAATTCAAGTAATCTTCCACTCATGTGCCAATTAACATGATCTTGATAAACATGATCGAGCTACGCAATATGGAATTGATCTTTCGATCCCTTTCTTTCTGTTCAAATTCACCTCCTCTATGTACTATCTCTTTTGAGTATCGAGTTCAAGTTTGATTGCGATTAATACATAGAATGCATGAAAAGAAAATCCTCTAATTTAATGACAGTAAAGTAAAGATAGTAAAGTTAAGCCATTTTTTATGGCGAGACTAAGCATGAAAAGAAAATCCTCTAATTTAATGACAGTAAAGTTAAGCCATTTTTTATGGCGAGACTAATACGGCGTTTGGAAGCTGATGAGCTAACCTGATAACCTAAACGAGAGGGAATACACCTTCTTATCTTGATAAGGCGAGCGCGATATGCTTTGCCGATAACTGAAGTAAATCGAGATGATTCTAGGCTACAGGCGTACACTGATGCAACACCATGAGAGCTTTGCAACCGCTACAGGCATAAAGATTAGCGATATTTGGTAACTCAGGTTTGCGTCACACTCCATTAATTTTATCTTTATGTTTTCATCACAGGCCTCAACAACCCAAGATGTTGGCTGTATGGTGCAAAACATCAGTTATGTACCTACGTTAAATTTCAATTTTCGTAGTATAATTTCTTATGTATCGATGTAACATTTCGACTGTCCTACATAGCCTGAATTATTTTCAATTTCGTTTTTAAAATGTCTTTACCACATTTCAATTAAAACATTCTCACGTTCTAACTGCAAAAAAAAAATATATAATGCTCCTAACAGGCTCATATTCATGTCAAAACGAGTCACTTCAATAAATTAATCAGAAAATTTTTTCGTCATAAAACCATTCATCAAAATAACGCAGTTAGTAATAAAGCTAACGCTTGAACGTAACCAAGCCTCCCTCGAGAATATGAGCGTCAAGTGACAGTCAATTATTTCTAATTAATTGACTCGATCATATTTTTGGCCATTCGATGACGTTTTCTGTCATGTGGTTGATGACAGCGTGCTATAAACGTGATATATTAATTTAATAATCATCGTATCTATTGTAACCCTAGTAAAAAAGAATCGGAATAAGTTAAAAATGGGACGCAAAATAAGCTATCTTACAAGAACTATAATTTTTAAGATCCCTATTGTATTTTTTTATCTATAGGATATCACAATTTTTCATATCTCTGCGCTGATTCTTCGGTTACGAAAAGAATCTTTTATTTTAACATTTCTCATTATCCGTCATTCCTATTTTGAAATCAACAACGAATGTCTCCAAATTAATTTTCTAACCACATAAAAGGTCTATGAGAGATAGGTACATGGTAGGCCTATGATCTGAACGTTTCTAACTGTTCAGTCTTATTTATAGGCTTGCAACACTCAGCTGTCCTTCACTGCCACCCTCGTTGCCATGACGTGCACGCCACACGGTCGCCATGGCCTACCTATACGCCATCGTCATGGCAAGGGCATGTAAACACTCAGCATATCTGCGACGACATGACATGAATCCTTTAATGTTATATCCTGCCTTTCGCTCCTACACTGTACGACGCATCAACACTATGTGTGTTGCAACTCGCGACCATTGCTACACCGTCGATACTCTGGCCTCCGACTGAGTTGCAGTGCGTATTTTTCGTTGACTTGATGTTATGACTGACAATTAGTTTTGATGTTATGACTGACAATTAGTTTTGATGTTATGACTTACAATTAATTTGTCAGTCCTGTTCTATTGCAGGATATTGCAGGACTGACATTTAATTTGTCAATCCTGCCTGATCCTGCCCTATTGCAGGATCAGGCGTCATATAAAGTGTTTTAATATACATGGATCATTAGTAGTTTCTTACTACGGATTTTTACTTACTTATCACGATTCTAACTGCACTCTCAAGCATGCCTCATGTACTCCCAAGCAAGTTTATAGAGACCCTGAAATCTTCATTATTTTAAGAATTATTTTGCAATAGAGAGTAGGTTCACGTTCAAATTCGTTCTCTGTGAAGTGTATTATTCACAGTGACTTGTAAGGTTAAATGTTAACAGCTGACTTACTGCACGTGTGATATTACAGCTTGAATTAACTTATACAGCCTCTACTTTACTTGATTTAAATGCGGATGTTGAATGAAGTAATGCGTGATGTGGGCTCCATGTCTCGACTTGCAAAGATATTGTATCTTGCTCGGGCTAGATATAGTTTTATGCGCTATGAATTATATTGCGAAATTAATGCGTGAAGGCATTCTCGCACATGCTTGTGCATGAGAATTTGATCAGGGATCTTATACTATCTTGAACAGCATTATGAGTTGCGGAGACATGTCCCAGAGAGATACGGACGCTGGTTGGGGATTTGTCAAAATATTGAATTTAAATATTTTTTATGAAAATAAGGGGAAAAATGATAAATTTATGTTGATTCTTGCATAATAAGGAGTTATCATTATGATATAGAAATAATCAAAGCAATTGCGTTCTGTTAAAGTTTGTTCTTTCAGCCTTCAAATATTTTTATTTTCGAAGTTTCATATTCTATTCACCTACTATGTATGATTTGATAACGTTTAGTTCAATACTCCAACATAGTGGAGGTCAGCGAAATGTCACTTGTAAACCACGGTAGCGAATCAGTGACGATATCAGCGTTCAGCCTCGGGACTTGGCATCGTTCGTAACCTTCGATTTATATGCAGGATCGTGTGAGGTACTACGAGAAAATAATTAAACATTTCAGAGCACGATGTGTAGCGATGATGTCGTGGTGCATGTTGACGAAATATACCATGTGAAAACCAGTAATGTTGTTAGGACTTTTCAAGCATTTAATCAATAGAATTTAATTAAAATAGAGATAATACCTATGTATCAATGAAACGTGCTAGGGTTATTATTAAAATATTACGATTGCATTATATATGTCATATAAACAGTCAACAAAAAAAAACATCTGATAACCCCGGTATTATTGAGGGAAATAGTAATTTCAATTTATTTGAGGTGGTAACTTAATTCTAGTTATAGTCAACCCAAAATATTTAAAATAAAACGGGTTGAAGCTCAAAGAGAGCTTCAGCTACGTTATTGAACGTGTCGTAAAGTCTTCATGAATCCTGCCATGCGCTTCAAAGAGGCTAAACGCGCGTAATTGATAGATGAAGCTGCTGCTGCGGCCCAGCAATAGAGTATAAGTATTCACAGCTGCATAACTATGCAGATGTTAAATTCGCGTGTTGGAAGCATATTTAACTTGTAAATAAATATTGGCGACGAATGGAAAAACAATCGCAGTAGTTTCGAGGTTATAAGCCCCCGAAAAAAATTATAATTTTAAATAAGTTATTATAGTAAACAAATTACAATACTAACTGTAACTTTGGTAAATACGGGAGCTTTTACAGAATAAGTAAGAACATGTGTAGTTGTGAACATCATGAAGATCAAAACCAGCAGCAGCGCAAATATTTATATGGTACCCATGGCACATGGTCCCTTACAGCTGTAACATTCTATAGCTGTAACACATGGTTCCTAACAGCTGTAACATTCTATAGCTGTAACACATGGTTCCTTACAGCTGTAACATTCTATGGCTGTAACACATGGTTCCTTACAGCTGTAACATTCTATAGAGCTGCAGCCCATGCATGGCTGGCACTGAGTGCCAGGAGTGGCACTAAATAAGCTCTGCGTATCACGACGTTCTTGGCACCTGCAGTCACTGCCACCCGAAATAGAATATCTTGTAATATTAAACTGAGCTTTTGCTGTTAAGTTTCATATATTTCTTATGAAGTGTGAATGCGATTCGAGTTTTTGTTGGG